AAGATGTTACCTACCCGGGTAATGAAACGTTTGCAAGAAAACAACCAAGCTCAGAGAACCCCAGGGACTGCACAATTTGAGATTTTCTTGCTGATACTGCTTATTTTAATGGTTTTATCAGCACACACTATTTATAAAAATTATTTGAAGAATGTGAGGAAATTCTGTTTTAAACTGAGGTTTCTCTGTGGTCTGGTCTGGTCTGCACATCATGCTAAAGCATAATGAGTTTGGGCTCTGATTTAACAGCATAATGTGCTATATGCTATTCAGGCCACCATGATATGTTAATAAAAAAACTTGCACTGATTTAAAATTGATCCTTGGATTTTGTAGCTATGGAAATTGAATGCTTTTTGGGTTTGTCTATAGCAATTATTTTTAAAAGACTTAGTACCTGGAATTTTATCTGTGCAGCACTCTGCCTTCTTGTTACTCTTGCCTCTTTTCTACAGGTTACCCAGATGAGTCGTCCAGACTTGATCCTCTTCCTTATGAAGTATCTGATGGCTCTCATAGTGGGAATCCCATCAGTCTTTTGGGTTGGAAGTAAAAAGACTTGCTTTGAATGGGCCAGCTTTTTTCATGGGCGTAGGAAAAAAGAGTGAGTTAAAGTCCATATACTTGGAAGTTGGCTATGCTGGAGAAGGTTGAAATATAGGAGAGGCCAAATCTGCTTTTTCTAGTTGATATGTCAGCCAAAGTCCATAAATATCATTCCTGGCTACTGCTGCTACCTATGCTTTCAGAATTATAAATGCATCCAGAAACATCTCCTAACTATGATTTTTAGGAGGTATGCAAACCTACACAATATTGGTTGAATCACTCTGTCCAGGACACAGATTTTCCATTGAGTTTACTTCCTGAATTTTCAGCTTGTTTCCCCTCCTCAGCTCCAAAATTATCTGTTGGGGTTTATGGGTTAAAAACAGAGGTCAGGTTGCCATATACAGATGACATTGCAATCCAAAACTGAAGGTGACTTTCCCTGGTAATTTTATATATTGTAAATGTTAACAGTATGGGGAACAAAACAGAACTCAGTGGGACCCCATAGACCAAATAATATGTTGCAAAGCAAACTTGTCCCTGCATCACTTGCCAGGACTGATTAGTTAGGTACAATTAAAGGCCCCATAATACTATGCCTCCCCAAACTCTATTATTATATTAGATGCAGTAAATAAGATGGCAGAAACTCAGCTAGTCTACAGCAGCCAGGTGGAGTGACCAAAGTTGTGCCCAAGGACGTAATAGCTTATACCCCTATGTCTGTAGTGGTATCAATATTCTGGGAATGATGCAGTGCTCCTGCTGTAACTGCAGTGGTAATTTTTAAACCATTTTCAACCCGCCTGCCATGCATTCTCTTGATTTTGAATGATACAGATACAACAGAAATGTGCAATTCATGCAGTATGGTCAGAGCTTTTTTGTTGCCTAGCTTCTTCTACATGCTGCTGCTTCCATTTGTCTTCCAGTATTAAACTGATTGTTATTCACCAGGGTCGTTAATGAGAGCCGGCAAGTGCTTCAGGAACCCGACTTTGCTCAGTCTCTCTTAAGAGATCCAAATACACCCATAATTCGCAAATCCAGAGGCACTTCCACCCAAGGGACTTCTACTCATGCCTCCTCTACACAATTGGCTGTGATGGATGACCAGCGAAGCAAAGCAGGCAGTGTGCATAGCAAAGTCAGTAGCTACCATGGCAGCTTGCATAGGTCACGAGATGGCAGGTGAGGAGATTAAAATGTTATTCTGCAAATACATAAGCAAAGTGCAAATTCATATTAAACCCAGGGCAGGATGAATTCAAGGGAAATGATTGAGTATAAGATCCTAGTTGTAACAGTTGTATGCAATTGTTCTCCTTTCTACCCACCCTCATTTGAAATAAAGTTTAGCAAGTTGTTGGTTTTCTAGGGCTTAAGATATCTTTCCCTACCCTGGTATGTTCCTAATGACAAAACCTGGAACCAGTTCATTGTGTATGTCTAAAACATACCTAGAGGACATCATATTGAAGAAGTCAGCCTTTGGTTGAGCTTCTGTTACAAGATCTCTCCTCTTTAAGAGAAATTCAGTGCAGATTAGGAGATCTAAATCTCTGATTCTTGGCAATTCCATTCTATAATATATTCAGTGATACATAACTATATACTATTTAATAAGGGCATTGGTGTATAGAACATTTTATCACCATTCCAAAATGCGTATTTTATATCTTTTATATATCCTACTAGCCAGGTGGTTACTAAATATGAATTAATTCCAGATTTAATCATACAGCAGTAGAACACCCTCCAGCATAGTTCATGCAGAAAATTCTGGGATTGCAGATTGAAATCTACACTTCTAGAGGGCAACCAGGTTGTGAAAAGCTGGAATGGACTAAACCGTTGATGAAATGGCTGTCAGTGATGCGTTCTGAAGAAGCCATTTCTCAGTCCAGCCATATTTGTGAACTATCATCCTGTCTCTAACCTCTCCTTTTCAGGGAAGTTTGCAGAGAAGACAGTGGTGGCTCAGCTACAATGGGCCGTAGAGAAAATGGATATTTAGATCCTTTTCAGTTAGGCTTAGACCCATTGCAAGTGACAGATAACATTGATCAGATGGATGACCTGTGTTGGGACCTTGAAGGAGGCTCTCTTAGTTCTATTAGATTGATCATGGTATCTTACTGGATGGCCTATAGGGAGTGGGGGTTGAAGATTTTACTTCTAGCACAGTAGGCAGTTCCAGTCAGTATTGTTGGGGGAGGAGCATTTGAGCCGATGGATGCTGTAGCATGGGTTACTAGGGGCTCATCATTCCCTACCCTGTTTTTTAACATCCATAAGAAATTGCTAGAAGCAGTCATCTGTCAGTTTCTCAATATACTGATGATACTCAACTGTACATTGTACCCCAGACTGAATTGGAGATGTAGTAGTAATCTTAACCCTGTGTTTAGGGAGAGAGAAACAAAGACAGAGTTGGTATTTGCCCAGAAATGGTTGCATTATGGTTCCATCTACAACTATGGGGGCAGGGGGTAGTCCTTCTCCTTAAGAAGCTGGTTCTCAACTTGGAGGTGGAATCCATGGCCAGACAGGCATTCACCGAGCTGAAATTGGTGCACAAATTTCTATCTTATTTGGACCAAGCTGCTCTGGCAACAGTGACTCATGTGCTGGTCAACATACAATTAGATTATTATAACATGCTTTACATGAGGAAGTCTTTGAAAATGATTCAGAAGCTTTAATTGCTGCAAAATGCAGTGACCAGGCTGCTAGCAGGTAAGTGTTACTATCTTGGCATTACATCAGTTCTTTGGTCACTGTACTGGTTGCCAATAGGCTTCTGGGTCTAATTCACAGTGCTGGTTTGGCCTTTAAAGCTCCATATAGTTTGTCTCCAGAGTACCTTAGGGACCATCTCCTCCAAATGGCATTTGCCTTGCCCATGCATGCATACAGGGAAGGGATGTTGAGAGTTTTGTCCCCATGAACAAAACATGAACATCAGAATAGTTTTTTCCCTCGTGCCATTGCTTTGCTGAATACCATGTGATCTTTTTTTTGCTCTTATCCAAACGCACCGTTGATTTTGCTGTTATCACCGAAGATAAATTCCTTGTGTATGTTTTATACTTGGCCATTAAAGTATTGGTATTGGTATTGGTATGAAATCAGAATAGTTTTTTCCCTCGTGCCATTGCTTTGCTGAATACCATGTGATCTTTTTTTTGCTCTTATCCAAACGCACCGTTGATTTTGCTGTTATCACCGAAGATAAATTCCTTGTGTATGTTTTATACTTGGCCATTAAAGTATTGGTATTGGTATTGGTATGAAAATTCAGACAGTCATTTCCTGTTATGACCTTCATGCTTTGGACTATTTTGCCCATGAGGTTTGCCCAACACCCACTCTCCTAGTTTTCTGGAAGAGAAGAGTGTTATTTGAGCAGACATTCAGATTTACAGTGGTACCTCGGGTTACGAACTTAATTCGTTCCATGACTCTGGTCGCAGCCCGAATTGGTCGCAACCCGAAGCAAATCTCCCCATAAGGTTCA